GCAGCAGCTGAATCTGGGGGGCTAGAAGAGCAGCTGGCGCTGCTGCGGGTTGCTGCAGCAGCAAAAGATGCAGCACTAAGCGTAGTAAGGAGACACAGAAAGAAACAAACGCAGATAGATAGAGACAGACAGAGATAAACAAAGAGAAATAAATAAATAAAAATAAACAAAAAGAAAATAAACAGAAAGAGACAAAAAAACAAAGAAAAGGAAAAAGGGGGAGGCAGCAACAGACCAGAGTCAACAGACAGCCACAGACAGAGACAGACGCACAAGCAGCAGCAGCAGCAGCAGCAGCAGCAGCAGCAGGGTTTAGTGTTTAGGGTGTTTATAGGGCTAAATGCGTATTGTTTGTGGGCTAGGGTTTAGGGTTTAGGGTTTAGGGTTTAGGGTTTAGGGTTTTATGTGTGTCTTTGCTGCTGCACAGGAGAGACAGCAGCGGCAGCAGCTGCAGCTGGAGCTGGCTGAGGCGCGTAGGTATCTGCTGCAGCAGCAGCAGCAGCAGGAGGAGCAGCAGCAGCAGCAGCAGTTTCTGCTGCCTCATCTGGGTGTTGGTGTTGATATACAGCAGACACAGACACACAGGCTGCAGCAGCAGCTGCTGCAGAAGGAGCAGCAGCTGCGAGGCCTTGCTGCAGCTCTTGATAGCTTCAGGGCGCAGAGTAGAGCAGCAGCAGCAGCACTGCAGCAGCAGCTGCAACAGGCATTTGAACGGGTGGCAGAGGTGTGCTGCTGCTGTTGCTGCTGCTGTTGCTGCTGCTGTTGCTGCTGCTGTTGCTGCTGTGCTGCTGCTGCAGTTGCTGCTGTTGCGTGGTTATTCTTTTTCGTTGCTGCAGCAGCACCGAAGTCTACTGCAGCGGCAGGGAGAATGCTGCTGCTTCTGCTGCTTATGCTGGTTTATGTTGCTGCTTGCTGCTGCGTGTGCTGCTGTTTGCTGCTGCAGGCGGAGGCTGAAGCAGCAGAGAGACAGAGACAGACGCAGCAGCTGCAGCAGCAGACATCGTCATTGGAGCAGCAGCTTGCAGCACTGCAGCAGCAGCACGCTGCTGCTGCTGCGACGCGAGACGCCCNTCGTCATTGGAGCAGCAGCTTGCAGCACTGCAGCAGCAGCACGCTGCTGCTGCTGCGACGCGAGACGCCCTGCAGAAGTCGCTGCAGCAGCAGCAGCAAAGCAACATGCAGCTGCAGCAGCAGCTGGCACTGCAGCAGCGTATTCGTCACGAGGTGCAGCAGCAGCTGGAGCAGCAGCAGCAGCAAGTCGACCTGCTGCAGCAGCAAAATGAGGAACTGCAGGAGGAAGCAGCAGAGTATCGACGCAACGCTGCTGCTGCTGCTGCTGTGGGGCCCGCAGCACTTGCTGCTGCTGCTGCTGCTGCTGGGGGAGGCGGAGAGTCAGAGGGTATTGCTGCTCTGCTGCAGCTGGAGCGGCAGCTAGCAGCAGATCGATACGAGCAGCAGCTGCAGCAGCTGCAGCAGGAGACGGAGCAGCAGCGTCGTGAGCTGCAGCAGACCCATGCTGAGCTGCAGCGGGCGCAGCAGCAGATCCAAGTATACCAACAGCAGCAGCAGGAGCAGCAGCAGCAGCAGCAGCAACAGCAGCAGCAGCAGCATGACCTCGCGCAGCAACTGGCGGAGCAGCAGCAACAGCAGCTGCAGCTGATTGAGGAAAGGGATCGGTTTGTTACTGCTATTCGCGTGCTGCAGCAGCGCTGCGATGAGCAGCAGCACCTGCAAGAGAATCAGCAGCAGCAGCAGCAGCAGCAGCAGCAGCNCAGCAGCGCTGCGATGAGCAGCAGCACCTGCAAGAGAATCAGCAGCAGCAGCAGCAGCAGCAGCAGCAGCAGCAGCAGCAGCTTGATGAAGAGCAGCAGCAACAGCAGGTTGCAAGCGTAGAGACACTGCAGCAGCAAGTGAGTTCTCTCGTCTCTGTCAACGCTCAGCTCTCGCAGTGGATTCGGCGGCTGCTGCAGCTGGTGCTGCAGCGGCTGCACCACGACGGCAGCAGCGACAGCAGCAGCAGCAGCAGCAGCAGAAACTCTCTGCAGCAGTCTGCAGCAACAGAAGATGCAGAGCTGCGGGAGAACCTCAACGACTTGCTCTCCTCGCTGCAGCAGCAGCAGCTAAATGAAGACCTGCAGCTGAACCTGTCTTCCTATCTGGAGCAACTGCAGCAGCAGCAGCAGCAGCAGCAGCAGCAGCAGCAGCAGCACGAGCAACAGCGGCGGGTGACAAGGCGCCGGAGGGCTCGATCCACTTCACCTGTACGCGAAGAAAAGGAGCAG